TTTCGTTCTACCGCCCCCCTGAAAAATGAAATCGCCCCCTGGGGGGCATTATCGCCCAGGTTAAGAACCACTGCCCTAGAGGATACCTGGTCGGCAGACAGAGAGTAATTAGGAGTTTGCACACCCTCAAGTTGCTGAGTGAGTCCTGGAATCTCAGCGAGGCCTGTGCCAAACACCCTCTCACAAGTCTGCCCTAATAAGAACACTGCTGTACCTTACAGATAGTTAACCATGTGGGGTTTGTAGTCCTTTTAGACATACTATGTTGATTTTTATAATAATCATTGTTTTATTAAAGAAATTAGTTCAGATAGTTAACCATGTGGGGTTTGTAGTCCTTTTAGACATACTATGTTGATTTTTATAATAATCATTGTTTTATTAAAGAAATTAGAAAGTTCCATAAAGAAAAAGTCAGTTTATGCATAAGCAAGCCAAAGATCATTTTCCAGGTTAATTATAAAATAGTAAGGAAGTAAAGAATCCATGAAAAATACAAAAATAGTAAAAATAGCAAAAATCCCAAAAATCCATGAAAACAAGTAAAAAGCTATTTAAGAGAAGGCAAAAAGGCAGGTGCCCCTCTTCTAGTCCAAGAAGGTAATCCATAAGAAAAAGCATAATGAACAAAATAGTCCAAGAAAGTATAAATGTCCAATGTCCATCATTATCCTGAAAAAACTATCCTACTCTAATAATCCATATTCTAATAATCATTGTGCTAACTCATAATCATTGCTCTAACTAACTAACTAACCACCCTCTCACTCACTATAACTAATGTCCATAGGCAAAAGTTCCTTTTTCAAGCTTAGCTGGCACATCCCTTATCTTCCACTTCTCACGATGTCATCCAGAAATCATTTATGCAGAGAAGCAAGATGGAATCCATTTTACTTTGTTCACTACTACATAACCCATCTTGTTCAGGATCTAAACCACGCAACCCATCTTCTGACATGCGTTACTGTCGAAACCTTTTTCACACTTCAAGCATATAAGTGGTTTCTCCCCTGTGTGGACCCTTTGATGGTTCATGAGGCTGGCCTTCCTGCTGAACCCTTTCCCACACTCCAAACATTTAAACAGCTTCTCTCCCGTGTGGATCGTCTGATGAGAAAGGAGGCTTCTCTTCCACGTGAAACCTACCCCGCAGTCCAAACACTTATATGGCTTCTCCCCTGTGTGGATCCTCTGGTGGGACAGGAACGCTGATTTCTGACGGAAGCTCTTCCCGCATGGTAAGCACTGAAATGGTTTCTCGCCTGTGTGGATTCTTTGATGATTCGTCAGTTCTGCTTTGGTACTGAAACTTTTTGCACACTCCAAGCATTTGTAGGCTTTCTTCACTTGATGAGAAAAAGAGGAAGACTGGCCATGACAGGTTTTTCCACGCTGTGAACAACTAAATGCTTTCTCCCCTTCGTGAGTTATCCGATGGTAACTGTGGTGCATCTGGTGGCTGAAACGTCTTCCATCCTCAAGGCATTTAAACAGTTTCTCCTCGGTATGAATTCTCTGATCGGCCATCGGGCGGGACTGCCAACGGAAGCCCTTTCCACACTCCAAGCATTTGAATGACTTGTCTCCTGTGTGGATTTGCTGATGGTTTGTGAGGTCTTTGTTGCTACGGAAGCCCTTTCCACAATCCAGGCATTTAAATGGTTTCTCCCCCGTGTGGACCCTTTGGTGGATCGTGAGGTTGGTTTTCCTGCTGAACCCTTTCCCACATTCCAGGCACTTAAACAGCTTCTCTCCCGTGTGAATCGTCTGATGAGAAAGGAGGCTTCTCTTCCATGTGAAACTTAATCCGCAGTCCAAACACTTATAGGGCTTCTCCCCTGTGTGGATTCTTTGATGGAGCTTAAGGTTTCCATTGCTACTGAAATTTTTTCTACACTCCAAGCATTTATGCAGATTCTTTGCCTGGTGCGAAAGAAAGGTACAGTTGCCACTACAGCTACAGTACGTCCACATTGTAAATAATCAAATCAGCTCCCCCTAGTGTGAGCTATCTGAGGACAGGCAGGGTTTAACTTCTGAATCATGCTTTTTTCTTTCCCCCAGGCTTTCTGTGTGAATAATTTGGGAGAAAACAGGGTGTGATTTATGACTTAAGGTCTTTCCAGATTCAAAGCGCTGAAGTGGATTGTGGCGTTCAGCTCTGCTCTCACCTGTCCGTCACAGCTGGGCAGGGGAACCTCTGCCAATGAGAGGACAGAGGGTGGTGCAGAAGTGGGAGGAGCTGGGTTATATAAGGTGTGTGTGACGTGTGAGCTGCAGTTTTGATCAGAGTTAGAGAGATGTGTGATTAAAGAGTTTGATAGAGTGAGAAAGTGCCTGTCAGTGAGGGAAAAGTCTGCGAGAGCTAGTGTCTAAGAAACAGTGATTGATTAATTGATTTTACACCTGTGATTTACTACTATTATTTCTTGTAATCAATAAGCCTTTATATTTGTTTGAAAGAAACCCTTGTCCTTTTGATTTAAGGATAGGTTGGTGGCAGCAAATCTTTGGTGTGAGGTAGTGAGCACTCTTATAGGCCTGGATGGGTAAAGGCTTGAGAGTGGCCCGCTACATGGATCTTCCGCTGTGTGGGTTTTCCAGTGAAGATTAAGGCTTGTTGTACACTTGAAAGTTATCCCGCATGCAGGACAAAAATATTTACACCTTTCTAATCCCTTGTGAATTTCTTCTTGGACTGAGATATCGCTAACTAAATCACCCTGAGCAAGGGGCATTTTGTTCACCAGCTTTCCTCTTACCTCAGTTTTTGTTCTCTGCTCTTCTATCTCTGCCAATGTCCTGCGTTTTTCTCCTTCCTTCTTGTTCTTCTGTCCATTTCGTCCTGAGAAAGAGAGAGAACGAGAGACTGCTTGTAGGAGCCCAAGACAGAAAAAGAGGTGAAAGAGCTAAGACAGTTGCTTAACTGCTAGAGATTGAACTGTCTTGATTTCAAATCCTATAATTCCCCATTCTGGGTATTCTACCTGACCGACAGATACTGAAATGTGCCTCACCTGAGCTGGAAGGCTATGAGGCTGAGCTAGGCTGAGCTCCTCCTAGCTTCCTGTTCAGAAATATAGTTTCTAGTAGCATCAAAGCAGAAACAAGAAGCTTAAGAGTAGCCTGGCTAGATGGATGATATATGAATGAATGAATGAATGAATGAATGAATGAATGAATGAATGAATGAATGAATGAATGATGTGAAACTAACATAATGTTTCTGTTGGTTTTGTTTTGTAACTACAACCACTTGGGCCGTGTTTATTTCACCCTACTTAAACTGCCCCCCCCCATTTTTCTCCTCTCTTTTAGATGTAAACCTCTGGCCATTGTAGGGGCATTTCCATGAGCCCCGTGGTGCAGTGGTCATATATGAGTGTGCATGCATGTACGTATGCAGAGAGAGAGTACAGTGGGGTCTCGACTTACGAACTTAATCCGTATTGGAAGGCAGTTCTCAGGTCGAAAAGTTCTTAAGTCGAATCTGCATTTCCCATAGGAATGCATTGAAAACCATTTAATCCGTATCTGCTCTTTTCGTCCATAGAAACTAATGGGAAGCTGCTATTCCGCCTTCTGCCACTAGAGGGGGATATTTTTTTCTTTTTTCCTTTTAACCTAAGATGACTTAGCTTTTAAAAAAAGGAAAAAAGGAGTTCATAACTCGAATCTAAGTTCGTAAGTCGAGTCCATATATTCCTATGAGGGCGGTTCGTAAGTCGAAACATTCATATTTTTATTTTTATTTTATTTATTTCATTTATACCCCGCCTATCTAGTCAGTTGTGACCACTCTAGGCGGCTTACAACACACATATGTTTAAAAATTAAACATATAACATACCACATCACATAACATAATTTACATAAATTAAAAGATAGAATAAATTTTTTCCCAAGGATGGCGAGAAACAATATATATTATAACAGAAAGAAAAAAGAATAATTAGGTATTAGGTGGAAAGGTCGAGCCGTTCATAAGTCGAGACCCCACTGTATTTGAGTGTCATAGCGCACTGGTTAAACAGCAGTACTGCACTCAAACTTCTGCTCATGACCTAAGTTAGATCCCGATGTGCTCAGGTTGCGGTCTCAAGATTGACTCGTCCTTCTACCTTTCTGAAGTCAGCAAAACTGAGTACTCAGCTCACTGGGGAGGGAGGGTGGTAGTTGTTGTTTGCATAATTACATTGTAAACCACCCAGAGAGTGCTTTAGCACTATGGAGCAATATGTAAGTCGAACCAACGTTTCCACAATAGACCACTTCTGGGTATTCTGCACCTAGAACACCGAAGGAAGGGTTGCCATGAGTCTGAATCCACCCAAGGAAGGGTTGCCATGAGTCTGAATCCACTAGTGACTCCTCAGAGGTTGCTGGGCTACAGCTTTTATCAGCCCCAAGTAGCACGGCCAATGGAGGGATATGATGGGATTTGTAACCTAGCTCCTTCTAGAGGTCCCCAAGTTGCCAAACCCCTGAACCAACCATTGGCTTCCTTAGCAATGTCACAGAAATGCAGAAAGGGAAAGAGCATTTCCATGTTGGAACCACAGAGGCTGCCGTTCCGCTTGCAGCTCTGAACCACTCTGATAAACTGGGATATTGATTTAATACACTGAGAAATGGAAGGAGATTCTGACTGGGTTGAGGCTCATCAGCACCTCGGAGCCTGACACCGGGTCCCTCCGAAGAGGTCACAGAAACCAGCCAGGGTGGAAGAGAACAACAAACCCTATTGAAACACAGCAATCATAAAAGAGAAGAATACTAATGTGCCATCAAGTCAATTCTGACTTATGGTGACTCTTCCCAGGGTTTTCCAGGTAGACAGAACTCAGACGTGGTTTTCCCCTTCCCTTCTTCCGGTGGGGCATCCTGGGGCCATGCAGCTTTTGCTCAAGGCCACCCAGGCTGGTTCTTCTCCTAGCAGGCTCAGTGGGGAAACTGAACTCCCAACCTCTGGCTCTACAGACAGAAATCTCAATTCAATTTCAATTTATTGTGACTGAACATATATACAGTCGTGCCCCGCTGGACGATTACCCCGCTCTACAACGAATCCGCTTTACGTTGACGTGTTTGCGATCACTTTTGTGATTGCAAAGCGATGTTTTAAATGAGGTTTTTTCGCTGTGCGATGATCAGTTCCCTGCTTCGGTAACCGATTTTCGCTTTATGACAATCAGCAAACAGCTGATTGTCGGGTTTCAAAATGGCCACCAGCTGAAGAAAATGGCCCCCCACTGTTTTCTAGGACAGATTCCTCGCTTTACAGGCACCGAAAATGGCCGCCGTATGGAGGATCTTTGCTGGATGAGCAGATATTCAGCCCATTGGAACGCATTGAACGGTTTTCAATGCGTTTCAATGGGGTTTTTTTATTTCGTTTGACGTTTTCACTCTACAGTTATTTCGCAGGAACCAATTAACATCGTCAAGCGAGGCACCACTGTACACCGTATACACATACAACTAAATTCACAAAGAACACTCAGAGACCAGACCAAAACACACACACACACCCTCATAACAATCCCTAAGTCCCAAAACCCCACCTAAGAGCTCATAGTATCCACACAACATACAACACAACAGACCAAGTAATAGTAATAGTAAGCCTTCGAGAATACAATAGTAATACAGTCCAACAACTCACTGCTGGTGATTCTTAAGTTCCTTGTTAAATGCAATTATAGCTCTAGGATTTAAAAAAACTGTCCAAAAAAACGTGTCGTCCGAGTTTTAATTGCTCTGTATCTTCTGCCATAAGGCAACAGTTCAAAGAAGTTATAAGCAGGGCGGGAAGAGTCTCTCAGAATATTAAATGACTTCCTCAAGCAGCGAGATGCAAAAATGTTGTCCAAGGTTGAGAGATGAAGTCCAATAATATTTTTGGGCAATTTTAGTAATTCTCTGTAAAACTGTTTTGTCCATTTCGGATCAACTCCCATACCGTGAGAGGATGCCATATTATAGGACACGCTCTATGGTCCTACGATAGTAGGACAGAAGTAAATGCTGAAATAGATTTATGTTCCCAAGCACTCTGAGGAAGCACAGCTTCTTCTATGCCTTCTTCACCAGCCTATTAGCGTTTATAGACCATGAGAGGTCCCTCTGAAATGTAAATACCCAAAAATTTAAAACTACTAACCCTTTCTGCACCTCTTCCACTGAGGATCGCAAAGGGGGGGGGCAAAACAAAGCTACCATGCGTTTTCTCTTGACTTACCCAAAATGGCCGCCATCCCAACATTCTCCTTCATGGCTTCCTGGTAGAGGGGCTTTTGGCAGGGATCCAGCAGGGCCGATTTGTCCTCCATGAAGGAGACGGCCACCTCTTCAAAGGTCACCTGGAGGAGGAAGACACCGTTGCACTGTGATCACCAGGCGAACTCCAAGGAAGGAAAGGAAACTACATTGCTCACAGCTGCCTATGTTGGATTTTAATTGTTCAACAGAGTGTTTGCCAACAAGTATCTCTGTTCTAAGCGGGGGGGGGGGAATCGGGGGTCTTTCAAGGTTTGGGGAGATGTATGCCCCTCACCCCCCAGCCTGTCTCTTTTTTGACCTTTAATCATGCATCTCTGTACCTGGTCAGGTTTCTCAGAGACTGTTCCCAGGGCTTCAGAATTAAGAAAAAAGGTTGCGCATGTTTGAGGCATTTGTGTTCCATCTCCTGCCAAGGACACAAACAACAAAAATGAGAATAAGTGAGTATTCCCCTCTGTTTCTCTTGCACGTTTTAATTCCTCAAAAGACTCATGGGATCACCACCAAAACCCTGGAAATGCCAGACTCACAGCAACTTGAATGTTGCCTGGTTTTTGGGGGTTTGTTTTGTTTTTGAATGGGACGTGGTGGCGCTGTGGGCTAAACCGCAGAAGCCTGTGCTGCAGGGTCAGAAGACCAGCAGTCGTAAGATCGAATCCACGCGATGGAGTGAGCGCCCGTCGCTTGTCCCAGCTCCCGCCAACCTAGCGGTTCAAAAGCATGCAAATGCAAGTAGATCAATAGGGACCACCTCGGTAGGAAGGTAACAGCGTTCCGTGTCTAAGTCGCACTGGCCATGTGACCACGGAAGATTGTCTTCGGACAAAACGCTGGCTCTATGGCTTGGAAACGGGGATGAGCACCGCCCCCTAGAGTCGAACACGACTGGACAAAAATTGTCAAGGGGAACCTTTACCTTTACCTTTGTTTTTGAGGCACTCTTAATCAAAATACACAGAGGGAGCAAAACAAAACCAACCTTAAACAGCTGAGAGGCAAGCTTGGTGGCCACAGAAGGTTAACTGAGTTAAATGTGGGGGGGGGGGGAGAACTGAAATGTGGTGAAAAAGGGAAAAAAATGGAGTGAGGTTTCTCAAGGCAGGACAAGACCTGTAAATACAACAAATGCTTTATTATCTCAGCTCATCCAGTCACCGATCACTAATAGCAACCCTATAAACTGTCAGTTTTCAAATGTCCTTTCATTCACAGCTCTGATAAAGTGTCACAAACTCAAGGTTTTTGAAGGGAATGGGATTTTACTGAATTATGGGACTCCCTGCTCCATAATTCAAGAGAGAACCAAATTCTGGAGTTGATTGATGGCCAGGACCCCAACCATCCACTCCTCTTCTTACCTCTTACAGAAGGGCCCAAGGCCCAGAGCCCTGACAAACACTGCCCTTTCAAAGCAAAGCTTTGGAGATGTCAAACTGTTAAAAGTCCTCCAGTAATTCAAGCACAGGCCAGCAGAGTGGCCCAAACACGGAAAGGCCTGTCAAGCGAGGAATCCGTCCAATTTTGAAGCTACCGATCAGCTGTTTTAAAAACGTCATCTAGCGAAAAATTGGTTCCCGAAGCAGGGAACCGATGGTTGGGAAGTGAATTTTGCCTATTAAAACATTATTTTGCGATTGCAAAAGCAAGTGCAAAACAGTCATCGTATAGCGGTTTCGTAATTTAACGAGGCAATCGTTAAGCAAGGCACCACTGTAGACCCTCTGAGGAGATACTGTTGGGAGTCCCTCCTGCATGGAGGTCAGAAATGGGGCTCTGATGCTCCCCACTGTGGGCCTTGCTCACCAGAGCCTCTGAATCTGATACCAACCACTGTCACCTTGACAAAGGTCACCCACTTAAGGACATCCTGCGAAGGGAACCCAATAACCAGCCATGCTGAAGAAGGTGAAATAGCCAACTTCACTTTACCAAGCGGGCAGGAAGAGGCTACAATTTTATTTTATTTTACACCATGAACTGATTTGATTCACAGTAAGAAAAAGGGGCGCCTTACCCAGAGAGGCCACCATCCCCAAATTCTCCTCCATGACTTCCGTGTGCAGGGACCTTTGGTCCGGATCCAGCAGGGTCCATTCCTCATCAGTAAAATAGACAGCCACTTCGTCAAAAGTTACCTGAAAGAAGACACATAGTAGTGTGAACACAAGGCTAACCCCAACCAGGAACAAAAATGGCGTCACTCAGGGCTGCCAGGCTGGGTTTTGATTTTTCGAATGGACTTTTCCAACAGGTATCTGTGTTCAAAGGGGAAAAAAATATTAGAATTCATGCAGGTTTCGGGGAGGTGGGCAGGGAGACAGCCCCCCCCCACCTCAGCCTGTCTCCTTCTTCACCTTTAATCGTTCAGCTGTTTACCTGGTCCATTTTATCAGAGCTTGTTGCCCAAGTAGCGGAATTAACAACAAAGCTTGGACGGCTTTGTGGGGTCCACGCTGTGTCTCCTGCAAGGAACACAAGCAAATATGAAGAGTCGTCGTCAAGAGTTCCTTTTTTTTTCCTCTGCACATTTTATCCACTCCACTCAGCGAAGTTGTATAACCACCACCCAAACTGGTGAGCAGCAGATTAACTTGAACTGTGAACAGAATCACCTACCTTCTTATCATGCAAGGGAGAGGTGACACCCCTGCCTTACAGACATTGCCCTTTCAAAGCAGCTTAGGAGATGTAAAACTGTCTAAAGTCCTTAAGCCATTTAGGCACAGGTCAGGGGAGTGGCCCAAGGTGGGAAAAGCCTTCTTTGGTCCTCACCCATTGAAGCGGACCTTCTCTCCCTGTCTTGTGTGGTCCGCTTAGGCTGCGGCTTCTCGCCCAACTCTGATGAAATCTTCTCTGCCTCAGACGTCTTTTTGACATACAAGTCCTGCACCCGCAGAAGAAGTGAGAAGCACAAGGAAAGAAATTGATTAGAAAAGGAATCAAACAGGAGAAGATGGATCCTCCTCCGTTCAATAATATTCACAGCTTTCTGAGGCAACCAAGATCAGGTGCTCTCACCTGCTGTTCTTTCTCCTTCTGTTCTAGCTCTTCCTGCCCTGCCTCCTCGGCTTGACTCAGGAGGAAGCCTTCGGCCAGAGCCACCGCCTGGGAACTGCTCTCTGCTCCGCATTCCCTCACCCAGCTGGACATCTTCGGGGGAAGGATGGCCAGGAAGTGCTCCAGGATCACCAGGTCCAGGATCTGAGCTTTTGTGTGCCTTTCTGGTTTCAACCACTGATGGCAGAGTTCATGGAGTCGGGCGCAAGCTTCTCGGGGGCCCTCGGCCTTTTTGTAGTAGAACTGCCTGAAGCTCTGGCACTGGACCTCTGAGCCATGGGGGCCACCATCCTGAACCCACTGAAAAGTTCCATTCCAGGAATCACCATCTCCCACAGGAAGGCTAGTGCTGAGACCTCCTCCTGCTTGAGGACATCCTGAGTCTTGCTCTTCCTTATTTGGACTGTAATAGAAAGCAGCTTCCAACATGGATGAACGATCACTTTTCCCTTTTGACGTATTTTGTCTTTGCATGATAAGAAGGAAAATACTGAGACCTGTAAAGCAAACAAGACACTTTGTGAATCAGCTGCTATTAAAACTCTTTTTCATGAGCATATTTTAAGCCAAAGGGACGTGGTGGCACTGCGGGCTAAACCGCAGAAGCCTGTGCTGCAGGGTCAGAAGACCAAGCAGTCGTAAGATCGAATCCATGTGACGGAGTGAGCGCCCGTCGCTTGTCCCAGCTCCCGCCAACCTAGCGGTTCAAAAGCATGCAAATGTGAGTAGATAAATAGGGACCACCTCGGTGGGAAGGTAACAGCGTATGTCGCACTGGCCATGTGACAACGGAAAGATTGTCTTCAGACAAACGCTGGCTCTATGGCTTGGAAACGGGGATGAGCACCGCCCCCTAGGGTCGAACGCGAGTGGACAAAAATTGTCAAGGGGAACCTACTTTTTTATTTTAAGCCAATTTCAATCTGGAAAAATCTTTTTTTATATAATGATGATGGCATGCTATTAAGTGAATTTTGACTAATGGCGATCATTTTCCAGGTAGACAAGACTTAGAAGTGGTTTCCCATTCCCTTCTTCTGGGTGCAATCCTGGGACTGTGCAGCTTGCCCAAGGTTGCATAGGTTGGCTCTTCTCTCAGGAGGCCCAGTGAGGGAATCGAACTTCCAACCTCTGACTCTGGCACCAGAAACCTAACTTATCGAGCAATCCAATCAGCTCTATAAGGAAGATAAACTCCACAAACAATAAAATGCCCTCTCTATTGGTTTGTCCCTCTTTAAGAACATAAGAAGCTCTTTTCCCTCTCATGCAATACCAGACTCAGGGGACATCCACTCCAATGGATGTCCAATGGATATTTCTTTACCCAGAGTGTTGTTAGTCTGTGGGACTCCTTGCCACAGGATGTGGTAATGGCATCTGGCCTAGATGCTTTGAAAAGGGAATTGGATGGATTTCCAGAGGAAAAGTCCATAAGAGGTTACAAGCCATGATGGTGGGGATGTATAATCTCCAGGCTACAAAGGAAGGTACCTCCAAATGCCAGATGCAGGGCAGGGGAATAGCAGATAGGTATTTCTTCTCGTGGGCTCCCAGACTCATCTGGTGGGGCCCCTGTGAGATCCAGGAAGCTGGACTAGATTGGCCCTTGGCCTAATCCAGCAGGGCTCTTCCCTCTATCCACTCTTTGGAAGAAGAAAAAAACACCCTACTTTCTCTTTGTTGACATATCTATTAGACCGGATTGCCTGAGTTTTGTTTTTCTAAAAAAAAAAATCAAAAGCAAAGATTTGGTCCTTTCAAGGAGAAAGGCAGGGTAAACATATTTTAAATACAGTGGTGCCTCGCACAACGATTGCTTCATACAACGATGAATTCACACAGCGATGGGTTTTTTTGAGGAATTTCCCCCATCGTTTAACGATGTTCTCTAGGGGGGAATTTCACTTAACGATGTCCCTTTTTGCTCATTTAAAAGTGTCTTAAAATGTTTGAAACCTGTTTTAAATGCTTGGATTCCATAGTGCACCTTGTGAAACATGTGCAAACTTAATTTGGTCTTGTTCTGAGTCTTCATTAATTTTTGGTGATTTGTTTATTTTCCCCATTTAAATCAATTGAATGGACAGTTCAATGCATTTAAATAGGGAAAACGAAAAATCACCAAAAATTAAGGACGACTCAGAACAACACCAAATTAAGTTTGCATAGGGTTCAGGAGGTGGGCTAACGATTGCAAGCATTTAAAACATGTTCCAAACATTGTAAGACACTTAAAAATGAGCGAAAAGGGACATCGGAAAAGACTTCAAAAGCACTGAAGCTCCGTTTTCGCTCATTTTTAAGGTTCTTACAATGTTTGGAACAGGTTTTAAATGCTTGCAATCGTTAGCCCACCTCCTGAACCCTACGCAAACTTAATTTGGTGTTGTTCTGAGTTGTCCTTAATTTTTGGTGATTTTTTGAATTTTCTCTCATTGGAATGCATTGGACGGAAAGTTCAAT